GATTCAATAGAACTTCATTAGCCCTTGAAGTCATGCAGTGAGACGCAGATAATGATTTTCCTCTCAGCGAATATAGTGATAAAGGCATATCCGTCCTTTCCGTGCAGTTGCACGCCAGTTATTGGCAATATCGCAGACTCTTTAATAAAGCAGCTTCTAAAGAATTAATGATGAGACGGACTATCGCAACAATGGATCGGATAAGAGTGATATTCTCACAAACACATGGCATAAAATATGGAAATGCCACTGCGATATTATTTCCTCTCAATAGAAGTCCGTTATGAGTTACGATCACCGTGAATTTAATGAATAAAATCGCTCGAGCGACAACCCTTAGGAAAAAATGCACGACTTCTTTTCAGAGCAGGATTTTTTTACCACCCTAATGCATGCTGGTACGCCGAGGTCGTAATTTGAAATTTAAAAGGGGAATTTTTGGTCGGGAATGCCGAAACTTATCTCAAAAGTATTTAACGTTGCCTTATCACGACGGTGTCTTGTAATGTATTCGGCAATTCAAGCCGGCCGGGTTGCATATTGATCAGGGGTGGTGAAAGTCGAGGCGCGCATTCTAGAACACAATCAGGCGGGCAGCCGAGGAGGTTAAATTGTTGGCACCGAGTCCCATTCATTCGCCCTGCTGGATACTTGAACCGCTGTTTTTATTTCCATTTAACATTGGTCGGCACAGAAACAGTAGCGGCAGAAATAAAGAAGGAACGAACGAAAGAAAAAAAGCAAGCACAGAAAACGAGGCAAGGCAAAATGCTCTTTTAAACGCTCGAATTTAATGGTTCTGCGGCCAGGGTGGAGAAAGAATAGATTTTTTTTTTTATTTTGCTCTCGTTCTCTTTTCCTCGTCTTGCTGTGCCTGCCTGTGATTGTTGAAGCGTGTTTTTGTAAGCGACGGGGTCGAAGAAAAAGAAAGGCACGAGAGAGGGAGAGAGAGAAAGGGTGGTGACACTGGCAGAAGAGCAATCAGCATCAGAAGAAGAAAGAACGAGAGAGAGAGACAGGCATAGCCAGTGGGACAATCGATCTGATACAATGGCTCTCCAGATGAGAAACACGAGAGCCTGCTTGTATAACACAGAGCGGGGCCGTGTCAACACCTTGTCAAATATCACGGCCGCCAGCTCACTACACACACTTTTCCCGAAATGCACACACACCGGCAGTGCTTCTCTGTCGCCAACATTTGTGTGCCCATTTGTGTGTGGAAGAGGGAAACCTGGTGAAATGGGCACTGCCGGGAAATATATGCGAGTGGGAGAGACATTATTATTCTGGCTTGCTATTTCCTTATTCATGATTGAAAATTGATCTCGCCAACGGTGACCAGTGAATGGAGCCATTCAATGGAAAACTAATTTTCATATGATGGATTTCATTTTAAAGGACTTTTTTTAAACATTTGTATTTTTATTCCTTTTATAAATCTCTAAAATCTCTTTTAATTTTAGAGTTGCAGCAAGTTCCATGGATTCATAGGGTTTTCTCTGTATTTCGTCCAATAATGAAACCCTCATTAACATAGATTCAAAAACTTCACATTTTTGCAAATTTTCCAAGAGGGAAAAAATATCTTTAATCTGTATTTGGTTTACAGAATCATTCAAGAGACACGTAAACTAGTAGCATTTCATGATCTATAATAATCCTTCCAGATCATCTATTTAATAATTGTCATGATTGACCTAAATTTACATAAAATCATTCAAATCAAATTTCAACGCTGAGTAAATGGACTTGAGTAGTATATTCGATTACCATTATTAATTGGTATAGAAAATGAAAAATTTAAATATAAGAATTGAAATATAAAATAAATATTCTAAATTATAAGTAACGTCGCACATCTATACTTGTTTTTTTTTTCAAATAAATTCTTAAATTTGTTTAACAAAATAAAATAAATTTAAAATAAACAAATAAATTAAATTGAGTTCAAAGATTATATTTTAAATTATCTAAGCAAATAAATATAAACATATTATTATTAACAGCTGTAAACTAGTTTAATTAAGTTTTTAAACATACATTGCGTAAAAAAAACTATTGAATAAGTTTACGACTTATATATTTCCTTCTTTTTTTGAAATTACTTTTTTAAAATATTGTTTAATACATTGAAATAAATCCTAAAGCTGTGTATTTATTTAGCTCTTAAATTTTAATATAGATCAACAAAATATAGCAAAAATTTAATTTAAATTCTAAATATTACACAGGTGGTGAACGGAACAAAAGGACGGAAAGAGCACAAAGGTGAGCGAATTTATGAGCTTTTTCCCGCCTACGTCCGACCCACGGCAACAAAACGGCCTTTCACCCTCGCCTGCTCTCTCCGCGTCCGGCACTCTCGCAACAATAAGCAATGTATTGCTGCGCGCTATGAAAATTTTTCCTGTCCATTTGACTAAAAAGCGATTTCACAGCTCCTCGACTCGATCAACGTCCAGTGGGTCTTCATGCCGTTCATGGTCAGTGGCGCACCTAATAAATCGCGCGCCGCTGGACCCTTTCGCCTCTCGGCCGCTTTTTCCGCGAAAATTGAACTATCGATTGGCCTCTTCCGAGCAGAGTTCCGGACGAAAAATGGCACATTTTGGCCAGATTTTGCCAAAGGCGGCTTTGGTTCATTTTTTCGCACCACTCGAGACTCATGAAGGGACATTTTTCCACTATCAGCGACGTGCAGACAACATTACTGGCGCGCTGGAATGTGCAGAGAAGCACCCTCGAAAGCCCCTGCTGTCACCCTTCCGCAGCTGCACACAGCTGATCCTCTTATGCAGCTCGCCATCGCAAGTCACACACACAAACTGGTAGCGTCGGCCACTCACTTTAAAGCCGGCCAGAGCTTTTTAATTAAAATCAAGGACGGACGAGAAGTACCATTTCTGCCCTTCACAGCCAATCAGCGCCTGCTGGACGGAGTAGCAAATTTAATTCAAGTCGACGCCGTGAAAGTAAATTAGAAAGGCTGCAGGATTATGCGAGCGGCCGACTTAATTGATACGTCTCTTCAGTTTAGTGTCTCTTTATTATAGAAGAGAGTGTTTCTGCATAGAAGAAACAATTATTTGAGAAGTTTATTATTCTCAGTTTCCCACTTTTTAAATTTAATTTGCATATAAAATAAAAGATTGTTTATCATAAATTCATTTAATTATCTTATTAGAAGTAAACATAAATGAGTAAAAAGGGAAAATATTATTTTAATTTATTTATTATTATTTTTTATTATATAATTAAGAGTAAGTGTTTTTTCTTAAATAGTTTTTTTATTACTTGCTCACTATAAAATTTATAAATTTGAAAAAAAAGGATGCAAAAATATATAAATTTAGTACTAATAAACAAATCAATAAACACAAGTTGCAACTAAATAATGAGAAATTTAATCAAGGTATAATTTTTTTTTAAATGAAAGTATATTTATTTGAAAGAAGTTACAAGTCCAGCCAAATCCAAACGGAGTTATCGGCCGGTGCTTATGTGACTGGAAAGCAAAACTTCAAAGCCGAGCAATCCAGTTCTATACACATTTTTTTAAATGCGAATTTTTACAAAGATTAAAATGTCAGTAAAATCTAGGCTTACTGGGGAAAATGGGATTTTATTTAAGCAAGAGTTTTTTTTTTAAATGGTACTGTTTTGTCAAACCATTCCTTTTCTTTTAAGGAGGTTCGACTGCTAAATAATGGCCCGATCAATTTTGCTCAGAATTTGACATTCTGCATTAACAAAATGCGGGGAAAAATATGGCGAAGAGAAATGAGGGGCATGTAGGACGTTTTTTGGTCCATTTAAATCATGTAAAAGACCACATTTGACTCCAGAGTACGACAATCGGAAACAATAAAACAATGCATTGATTTGAATTAGGCTTCCTCTTAACAAGTTGTTTCTTAGTAACTGACTGTGAACAATGTGATTGTAACAATAGGAAATATGAACAACAATAAAAATAAATAAATAATTTATTTCCGCACTTATAATGCAGAAAACTATATTAAATATAACTCATTAAAAAAATTTCAGCATACAAAAATGAAACACTAAATTGAAATTTAAACGCAAATATATTGAAATTGCACCAGTGATAAAAAAAAAATGAAATTTTAATCACTTCTCCGTTAATGGGTATTGAATCATTTTGAAAATCTGGACGCAAAACATCTATTTATCAGACAAGTCGGTGTGTTCGGATCCCTCAACCGCGCAATAAATCATCAGGTGGCGAACGAAGCAAAACAAGAGTACAATTAATTTCGCGAGTGGAGAACGTAGCGAGAGTGGCGCGCAACACTGCATGATTATGATAATGCAACGGGCGCAGCACACCAGGGCAATTAATCACGGCGTCTCTCGTTCGTTCTCCTCTACGTGAGCACAATGCCGACGACGACGAGCACGTGTGTGGACGCGTAGCTCTTTTTTTCGTTCGCAAGAAAGAGAGAGAAAAAGGATCTCATCAGCAGAAAATGGCTATTGTTGCGAGCGCGAGAGGAGAAAAACGGTCGGATCTGAAACGGCTCAAATTAATCAAATAATAAAATAAAAAAAATTCCATTGGCGCCGCCATATTCAGAGCAGCGCGACGTCCTGCGTACGTGTGTTGTTCCTTGCGCGTGCTGTGACAAATGGAGGCTGCGTATGATTTATTATTAGCGGCGCGGCGTGACACCGAGACTAATCAATCACACGTGAATGAATAGCCCTGCCGAGGTGTCTCTATAGAAATTTGTTTAAGAGGATTTCTCGCTCGGGCGCGAGCTGTTTTTGCGCCACTTGCTTTTATTTTGCGCACAAAGCTTGCACGAGTAGTAAAATTCTACGTGTAGTATAAAAATAATAAGCCGCCCCCGCACCCTGGATTCGAGAGCCCTTTGACGAGACCGTCACTCACTCCGAGGACGACGGTGCTGCCGCCGCCACCGGCAGGCACCCCTTTGCTCGCCTTCCGCGCTCACTCGCTCTTCAGTTGTGGCCAAACAGCCCGAAGGGAAGCCACCCCACGCCAAACGTCCGCTTTTCACCGCACACGCACGTGACAACCTAAGTGAGTACCAAATAATGATTTTAACAAAATTGTTCTATTTTTAAGTTGACATAGTATATAATTAAATGACTTTATTTTATAAATTTTTATAATCCTTTTCGTGTTTTATTTTATTGTAATTTAAAATAATTAATTTTAATAACATAACACATTTTGAACTTGTAAATTTTTATATAATAAATTAATTTACTATCAAAATAAGCACGGTTTCTTATATTTTCTTTTTAATTTTTTTTTTCGATAAATGATGATGAACACTTTGTAGTCAAGATATCAAGATAAATCAAATTGAATATGAGGGAGCAAGGTCCGCGCATCAGCAACAATGAAAAATGATTTGATTGTTGTTTGAGCTCTCTGATTGGGTACAAGAAAAGTTGTACCCAATCAGAGAGCTCGACAACAATCAAAATTTTCTGACGAGCGGACCTTGTGTGGGAGAAAATTTTTTTTGATATGTCGTTTTCTTTGAAATTAATTTGCTTGAAAAATACTAATATTTTATTAAATAATTATATCTAATTTTAAAATTTTTACTCTCAAAGACCTAAAAGAAGAGGAGCTATTTTGTAGTATGCATCAAATATATTAGTAGCTCATATTTTATCGTGGTTTCTTCTTCACGAGTCAAAATAATAAAATGTGAAGAAATGGCAACACCTCTGGCTAATAAGTTGCTAAAACGCGGGCTATTTTAAATTTCAAATAATAACCGTAAAATTGGGATAAATTTATTTTACAGCAATTTTTCTTTACATTTCAGCAAATATTTCTTGCTAAAAATTGACACCATTATAAACTTCTACTTAGAAAACGACAACTTAATAAACCTTATTGTTATTAAAAAAAGAAACACAAAAATTATTAACCAGTCAGATTAATGAGTCTTCGGCAGATTTTTCCAGCTAACAATAAGTCCTCCTGTATCCAAAAGGTTGAAATTCATCCTAAATTCTATTAAAAATAATTTCATTGCTTTGATACGTCCAAAATGTCACTTTCAATCGCATGAATATTTTAAATCGGAAGGCTATGAAAAATTATCAAATTTTAGAGCTAATTTACATTAAACCCGGTTTCATTGCTTGACGTTGAAAGGGGTCAAGAGTGGCGAGAAGTTAACTTTAGGCGCAATATTAACTTACAATTGAAGCTGGCAAGTTTGCCCGCTTTGTGTCGCGCCGGCACCTTAAACAGAGGGAGAGACAAACACAAACGGAGTAAGAGCGAGTTGAGCGAACTCATTAAAATCCCCACTTAAAGAATACGTAGTGTGTTTGTACTTACATAATATGTAACAACTATGCACAGAGAGAGTCGTCGAGTGTTGCTGTTGCAAAGCAAAGAGGACAGGCCGTTTCGAAAGTATGCAATGCGCTTAGCTCCCCAACTCAACCGGTTGCATAACAGCGACATCAAGTTTAATTTCAAAAATTTCCGGAAGGACTAATTTTGACTCGGCAATTAGAGCAAATTAAATCCTCACTTTCGCCGACTCTCATTCTGAATGAAACTTAATGAAGGCGCGTGACTGCTTTCAATCAACTGGGCTTTATTTGCAAGAACAAAAACGCGATTAATTTGCCATTTCTGACGGAGAATTAATTAATTACTGTGTTTTGAAATAGACGTCAAGAGCGTGTTCGGCTCGTTGGAGAGCACTCTCGCTGCTTTTTGGCGTTAACAATTTTTCTGCGTGAAAAAGTTGTGTGCAAATTGAATGATTAAAAGAGCTTTCTCTCTGCTCGCACTCACTTTTAAGGGCGTAGGCAAAATATTTTCATGCATTTGCACACCCGAATGAAACGAACGCGGGTATAAATCAGCGCGACACCATGTTGGGGATTTAATTGGGCCGCGTACGGTGAGGTATGTGCATTAAATCAACGCCACTCTGGGCACATTTCCAATTTAAATGCTCCGTTTTTCTCTCTTTTCGCTTTCTCTCTACTCTGCTTTGCACAAGCTTCAATTTATATCAATCAACGCGCCGGCGCCTCATTCGTAAAAAAAAAATTGCTTTTAATCATGCGCCGCACACGCAGGGTGCTTAATAAAAACGACGATCAAAGCAAAACTAAATTTGTAATTATTGCATGCGCGCAGAGAAGTAAAAAAAAGCATTAAAAAAAAACACGGTAGGCTGCCTCCGATTAGTGATGAAATGTTTTCAGTTTTACATTCAATGAGCTTTGCAATCGAAGCCAGATGGATTAATGGCTGACAGCCAATAAGTAATAAACACGTTGAAGTTATATTTAAAACGGTCATTTCATATTTTTGCTCTATAGAATCAAATAATAATAATAATAATATGCAGATTTTTGCAATATTCACTTCAGATCCCTGGACAATACTGTCAATTCTCATAACTTTTTCATCGCTTTTCGAAGCTTAAAACTGATTAAAATGTTAATGCAAAATTATATTTTAATACAAAATAAGCTCAAATTTTTACAATAATACTGTACATATTTCTAACTGAAAATCTCGTCGAATGTCTCGCCACCTTTGCTCATTTTTATAAACTAAATTTGATTAACATAATTATAAAATGAATGCACATTAATTTTTCCTTTTTAACTTTGTAAAAGATATGTTAAAAAATTCAAATAATTATTGAATATGTTATTTTTCAATAGATTTTTTTATATTTTAGTATCGCACCAGGATTACAATATATTGTCAGAAGGGATGTTGTTTACAAATAATTACTATTATCAAGTTTTTGCAGATTAAAAAGTGTGATTAATTTTCAATGTTGTCAGAAATAATTAGCCGGAAGTAATGAAGTCCTGGTCCTGTTGAGGCTGGCGCCTATGAATCGATGCATAAATAATCCAGGGATGGAAAATAATGAGGCCAATTATTCATCACCGGGCCGATGCTAATGCACGTGTCGAATTAAATGTGAATATGCATCGGCCACATACAAATCACCATCAGAGTTTATCCTTTCAAACAGCGACGGATGAATAATGAACGGGCTGCCGTTCGGTCAGTCGACATGCATAAATAAATATAAGCAAATGAATTCGCGCAGCACGGCGCAAATACAATTACTAGGTAAGCAGGTGAGTGGGGCTGTGGACCGGACTGGAGCGCTGATAGTGACAATTTGCAGTGGGCGCGCCGCTACTGGCGATTGATCAAAGCGACACGACTGATTATGCCAGCCAGGATCAAACAGAAACACATGAGTAAGCCTGCGTCACTCAAGCCGCTATGGAACGTGTGTGTGTGTGTCTGCTCGGCCGTGCACTTATAGATTAGCCAAGTGGAGTGAGTGCATGGCCTAATGCCTCCTCGCGTCCCACAAACTCTCTGTGCGCGCACAAATAAGCACATAGGTGCACTTGGGCATGCCTTTCATCATGGTCGACAGCTTCGAGGCCTAATAGTGCGCGGTCGGCCGACAACAGTCGCTCGCCGCGGTTATCTAATTTTCATGATCACACTAATCAATCAAACTCCGAATCAACAACGACTGCGAGAAACCTTCAAATTGATTTAAGAAATCTCAAAATTTTCTTCTTCTTAAATATTATTAATAATAAAAACGTCACCACTGTAATGCAAAAATTATTTTCATCAAACCAAGAGGAGTGGATTTAAAGATTATGGAACTACTGGTGTTTGTAAACAATTAACTTTTTAGTAACTTTTTCCAATTTAAAATTTTGTATTGACCGAGAAAAATAATTAATAATAATAATAATAACTGAATGTAGCCTAATGTTTAAAAGAAAAATCAATAAAAATTAAAATAGAGAAGAATTAAAGGGATTGAAAAGTTTTCTACTGTGTGAATTTTCGGCCTATTTCCTTTCGGATAAACTCCGATTTTTTTTCGGACTATTTCCAAAGTTTCAGATGAAGTCCGTTGGCATTTTCAGACAAATTTTCAGATGAAAGGCGATTCACCCTATAAAGTTCAGTCTTAGTAGAGATAAATGATAATTGGTGCACCCTTCAAAATGGTACTCCAGTTATAATTTATACTCGCTTTCATGTCTTTTTGTCTGCATTCAAAAGTAGAACATTGGAATCTTGGATTTAACTGATTTTTCAAGTAAAGCTCGAACTATTGCTCCTTTGGCACGATGTTTTCCTATTTTCAAACATCAAAGACACACGTTAATTGGCGAGTTTCATCAAACACCGATGGCGGCCATATTTATTATTATTTATTATTATTATTGTTGTTTATTTGTCCAAATTGTTACATCACATTGTTTATTACTTTTTTTCATTCAAAATGGGGGCAATTTAATTTTTTGTTGACAAATTTAAAAATCTTTTTCAATTGCATTTAAATAAAATAAATTTTGAACAGTCAAGAGTAAAATATTCCAATTTCAATATTCAAAAGGCTGTGTAGACATTCTGTCGAGCGCGCAGACACATTTATACATTACAATTAACATTATTGTACATATCACATTGGCGACTATTCGCCATGTACTCACTCTTCTTGTACAAACACACTCGGTTCTCACCAGAGCACACTGTAAACTCTCAAAGCCTCGTCATATAATAATCCAGTCTGGAGCAATCAAGTGTCACCCTGCGAAACAAGCGCCCTCGGGCGGCTACAGAAGCGCTTATGCAAAGCCCTTCTCCATCTATGGATAGATCTATTTACATGCAGCGCCGACTATTTATCCACGGACGTATTTGGGTAATGAATTGCAGCCGGGCTTAATAACGTATGCTAATATTGGCGGCACCGCATGATCGTCGTCCCATCCGGCAGCGCAGCTACCCGCTCGCTGCCGGGGGCCTCATCTGATCGATCGACGAACACACGTTCCTTAATTAAAAAGTCGAGAGCTGTGGCCTGATTGGCGACGCCGCTGCAATCACCTCGGCCCGTAATTATCTCTCGGTCTAATTGTAGGTAAACGCACGTGAGCGTGAATGAATTGCTGCTCCTCAGCATCTCGACGGAAGACGAGCCATTGCAAATTACAATGCAGATGATCGATCGGGCGCTGATC